TTGTGTAGCACAAAGGATCCTTCAGTTTTATTATCCTTTGCAGAAAATTAAAGGTGTTGACTGCCAGCTCATCTCACTCTAGGTGTGTGCCTTAATAAGGACACGAGGAATTTTGATGCGATTCACGAAGACTGATAATATGTCTGGCATCCCTTTCATAGGCTATTGTTTTCCGTAATCGAATTTATTATTAATTGTTACCCGACAACACAACAAAAAAAGGGAAAGGAGGAGGCTTGATGAAGCATGAAATTGGATATATATAAAACGGAATGTTAGCACATCATGTGAGGGAACGCTCGGTGAGGGTTGGGGATAAGAAGAGCGAAAAAAAAAAACAAAATGAAATGAAATGAAATGTTAACATTTTTCCAAATAAATTTTTATCGATAATCGACAAAAAAATTCTATACAAATTCTTATCGAAAATTTTCTATAGAAAATCTTTTATTAATGATCGATAAAAAATTTTCTATAAAAACTCTAGAAAATTTTCTAATAGAAACAAAAATTTCTGTAGAAAAAACTTTTATCGATAACCGATAAAACTTTTTTCTATAGAAAAAACTTTTAAAAAAAAATTTTTCTATTGAAAAAACTTTTATCGGTAAATAGAAAAAACTTTTATCGATAACCGATAAATTTTTTTTCTATAGAAAAAACTTTTATCTATAAACGATTAAATTTTTTTCTATAGAAAAAACTTTTATCGATAACCGATTAAATTTTTTTCTATAGAAAAAACTTTTATCGATAACCGATAAATAAAAAAAACTTTTATCGATAACCGATAAAATTTTTTCTATAGAAAAAACTTTTATCGATAACAGATAACATTTTTTTCTATAGAAAAAACTTTTATCGATAACCGATAAAATTTATTTCTATAGAAAAAACTTTTATCGATAACCGATAAAACTTATTTCTATAGAAAATCTTTTATCGATAATCGATAGAAAAAATTTTCTATAGAAAACCTTTTATCGATAATCGACAGAAAAAATTTTCTATAGAAAATCTTTTATCGATAATCGATAGAAAAATTTTTCTATAGAAAATCTTTTATCGATAATCGATAGAAAAATTTTTCTATAGAAAATCTTTTATCGATAATCGATAGAAAAAATTTTCTATAGAAAATCTTTTATCGATAATCGATAGAAAAAATTTTCTATAGAAAATCTTTTATCGATAATCGATATAAAATTTTTCTATAGAAAATCTTTTACCGATAATCGATAGAAAAAATTTTCTATAGAAAATCTTTTATCGATAATCGATAGAAAAAATTTTCTATAGAAAATCTTTTATCGATAATAAATAGAAAAAATTTTCTATAGAAAATCTTTTATCGATAATCGATAGAAAAAATTTTCTATAGAAAATCTTTTACCGATAATCGATAGAAAAAATTTTCTATAGAAAATCTTTTATCGATAATCGATAGAAAAAATTTTCTATAGAAAATCTTTTATCGATAATAAATAGAAAAATTTTCTATAGAAAATCTTTTATCGATAATCGATATAAAATTTTTCTATAGAAAATCTTTTACCGATAATCAATAGAAAAAATTTTCTATAGAAAATCTTTCATCGATAATCGATAGAAAAATTTTCTATAGAAAATCTTTCATCGATAACCGATAAAAAATTTTCTATAGAAAATCTTTCATCGATAATCGATAGAAAAAATTTTCTATAGAAAATCTTTTATCGATAATCGATAGAAAAAATTTTCTATAGAAAATCTTTCATCGATAATCGATAGAAAAAATTTTCTATAGAAAATCTTTCATCGATAATCGATAGAAAAAATTTTCTATAGAAAATCTTTCATCGATAATCGATAGAAAAAATTTTCTATAGAAAATCTTTCATCGATAATCGATAGAAAAAATTTTCTATAGAAAATCTTTCATCGATAATCGATAGAAAAAATTTTCTATAGAAATCTTTCATCGATAATCGATAGAAAAATTTTCTATAGAAAATCTTTCATCGATAATCGATAGAAAAATTTTCTATAGAAAATCTTTCATCGATAATCGATAGAAAAAATTTTCTATAGAAAATCTTTTATCGATAATCGATAGAAAAATTTTCTATAGAAAATCTTTTATCGATAATCGATAGAAAAAATTTTCTATAGAAAATCTTTTATCGATAATCGATAGAAAAAATTTTCTATAGAAATCTTTTATCGATAATCGATAGAAAAAATTTTCTATAGAAAATCTTTTATCGATAATCGATAGAAAAAATTTTCTATAGAAAATCTTTCATCGATAATCGATAGAAAAAATTTTCTATAGAAAATCTTTCATCGATAATCGATAGAAAAAATTTTCTATAGAAAATCTTTTATCGATAATCGATAGAAAAAATTTTCTATAGAAAATCTTTCATCGATAATCGATAGAAAAAATTTTCTATAGAAAATCTTTTATCGATAATCGATAGAAAAAATTTTCTATAGAAAATCTTTCATCGATAATCGATAGAAAAAATTTTCTATAGAAAATCTTTCATCGATAATCGATAGAAAAAATTTTCTATAGAAAATCTTTCATCGATAATCGATAGAAAAAATTTTCTATAGAAAATCTTTCATCGATAATCGATAGAAAAAATTTTCTATAGAAAATCTTTCATCGATAATCGATAGAAAAAATTTTTTATAGAAAATCTTTTATCGATAATCGATAGAAAAAATTTTCTATAGAAAATCTCTCATCGATAATCGATAGAAAAAATTTTCTATAGAAAATCTTTCATCGATAATCGATAGAAAAAATTTTCTATAGAAAATCTTTTATCGACGATCGATGAAAAACATTTTCTATAAAAAATGAACGATGAAAAACATTTTCTATAGAAAATCTTTTATCGATGATCGATGAAAAACATTTTCTATAGAAAATCTTTTATCGATGATCGATGAAAAACATTTTCTATAGAAAATCTTTTATCGATGATCGATGAAAAACATTTTCTATAGAAAATCTTTTATCGATGATCGATGAAAAACATTTTCTATAGAAATCTTTTATCGATGATCGATGAAAAACATTTTCTATAGAAAATCTTTTATCGATGATCGATGAAAAACATTTTCTATAGAAAATCTTTTATCGATGATCGATGAAAAACATTTTCTATAGAAAATCTTTTATCGATGATCGATGAAAAACATTTTCTATAGAAAATCTTTTATCGATGATCGATGAAAAACATTTTCTATAGAAAATCTTTTATCGATGATCGATGAAAAACATTTTCTATAGAAATCTTTTATCGATGATCGATGAAAAACATTTTCTATAGAAAATCTTTTATCGATGATCGATGAAAAACATTTTCTATAGAAAATCTTTTATCGATGATCGATGAAAAAATTTTCTATAGAAAATCTTTTATCGATGATCGATGAAAAACATTTTCTATAGAAAATCTTTTATCGATGATCGATGAAAAACATTTTCTATAGAAAATCTTTTATCGATGATCGATGATGAATAGACAAAAAAATAGAAAAATTTTTATCGATAACCGATAAAAAAATTTTCTGTAGAAAAATCTTTTATCGATAACCGATAAAAAATTTTCTATGGAAAATTTTTATCGATAATCGATAAAAGTTTTTTCTATAGAAAAAACATCGATAAAAGTTTTTTCTATAGAAAAAACATTTATCGATAATCGATTAAAGTTTTTTCTATAAAAAAAACATTTATCGATAACCGATAAAATGTTTTTCTATAGAAAATCTTTTATCGATAACCGATAAAATTTTTTTCTATAGAAAATCTTTTATCGATAACCGATAAAATTTTTTTCTATAGAAAAATTTTTTATCGATAACCGATAACATTTTTTCTATAGAAAAACTTTTATCGATAACCGATAACATTTTTTCTATAGAAAAAACTTTTATCGGTTACAGATAAAAGTTTTTTCTATTGAAAAAAAAATTTATCGGTTATCGATTAAAGTTTTTTCTTTAGAAAAACATTTATCGGTTATCGATTAAAGTTTTTTCTTTAGAAAAACATTTATCGGTTATCGATTAAAGTTTTTTCTTTAGAAAAAAATTTATCGGTTATCGATCAAAGTTTTTTCCTTAGAAAAAATTTATCGGTTATCGATAAAAGTTGTTTCTATAGGAAAAAATATTTATCAGTTATCGATAAAAGTTTTTTCTATAGAAAATCTTCTAGCGACAATCGATAAAAATTTTTTCTATAGAAAATCTTTTATCGACAATCGATAAATTTTTTTCTATAGAAAATCTTTTATCGATAATCGATAGAAAATTTGCTATAGAAAATCTTTTATCGACAATCGATTAACAAAATTTCTATAGAAAATCTTTTTCTATAGAAAATCTTTTATCGATAACATTTTTTTCTATAGAAATTTTTATCGATAATCGATAATTTTTTTTCTTTGTAATTTTTTATTTTGTAGTAGTTTTTGTTTTTATTTTTGTAGTAGTTGTTGTTTTTATTTTTGTTGACTCATTGCATTTGGTTGTTGTTGCACTTTTGAGTTTTTCCTCTACTCCGCAATGAGCGTTCACATCTAAAGGAAGTCATGGAGATTAACATACCTGAGATATGCCGCCCATTTTAATTGTGTGAATTATTTTTGTTATTATTGTTGTGGCTGCCTTTGTTGTTATTATTGTTGTTGTATTCTAGCATTTCTGGTTAGTGACGAAAAATCTGAATGACTGATTACGTCGAACAATTGTGGGAACATCGACAAATTAACTTAGCTCACCTGTGTCATTTTTTTGCATATTTTGGAAAATAGTAAGATCGCGGTCAGGGTTGCCAGTATTGGCAAAAAATTTTGAAAGTATTTTTGGAGTAATTTTTAAAAATTCCTCTGAACTAGGAATATTCAGGGTTTGCATTTCCCAGTTTTGGGAACTTAGGATATATGCCTAAGGTCACTATATCATCTGGAAAATACATTGGCAACCCTATTTATGTATTTCGATGTAAATGTTAATATTTTGTTAGAACTTTATGCGATTAGTAGTATTTACACTTTAAAATGAGTCGGTCGTCGGCGGTAAGCGTGACTTTGAAGATTCTACAGTTGGTAAGAAGCCAGAGGGAAAGAGAGGGAGGCAGAAGAGGATAGCAGCTAAGGCAAAAACAATTCTTATCTCGTCCCTTCTTTTTAAGTAGATCACCTGTGTTGCTGCTTTGATTTATAAAAAGCTCACCGACAATCGGGCCCGCATGACCCTGAGGATCAATCAGAAGAGTCTCAACGAATGGAAGCTATTGGAAAATGTGAACTGGTCACAGGAGGGCAGTGATTTCAGCATCTTCACATATGCGGGATACACCTTTATAATTGCCGTTTGCTTACTGGAAAGGTAGCTAGCTGACCAAGGTGTGGCCGAGGCAAATCGATATGAATAATCCGACAAATTTCATTTTCATTTCCAGATTCATTAACTATCGCAAAATTCCCAGCACCACAGACACACTATTCCTAAGGTTTGGCATGATCATATTTTGTCTTCAAGGTGAGTTGCTGGGGGAAATCGGAAAAATTTTCAGCCCTCAAAAAAATAAAAGTGTGGGAAATAATTTCGGTTTCCATAATTGTAGGTATTATGGTATTCTACACCGTGGAATATGTCCATGAGAATATACAGCTGAATGCCTTGGTATTGGGAGGCTTAAGTTTTCTGGTGGCCATTCTATTCTTCTTGGAAGACTGCTGCACCACCAGGAGCCTGAGAACGGATAATAAGTTCATGCAAACCGAAACTTTGGTAGGTAATTAGAGGGACTGGAGTTTTCGGGCATAGATGAGACGAAGATGATGATGATTTTGATGATGTCCTTCATTCTTTTAGAAACCCATCTCTTCCATACCCATTAAAGTCAGCGAGGATGATGATGTGCTGCATACGTATGTTTGAAGAGACTGGAATTTTTTTGTTTGTAATTTTTAATAGTTTCTTTGTAATAAATAAAATCAAAAAATATCTGAAAACCAAAATTATTTAAATAAAAAATAAATTTTAAAAATCCTCGACTTGGGGACTTTAAATATCCTTGAAAAACTGTTGAAAAATCCACGCCTTGGTGACTTTAAATATCCTTGAAAAACTCTTGAAAAATCCACTCCTTGGTGACTTTAAATATCCTTGAAAAACTGTTGAAAAATCCACGCCTTGGTGACTTTAAATATCCTTGAGAAATTCATGAAAAAATCCACGCCTTTGGGACTTTAAATATCCTTGAAAAATTCTTGAAAAATCCACGCCTTGGTGACTTTAAATATCCTTCAAAAACTGTTGAAAAATTCACGCCTTGGTGACTTTAAATATCCTTGAAAAATTCTTGAAAAAATCCACGCCTTTGGGACTTTAAATATCATTGAAAAAATCTTGAAAAATCCACGCCTTGGAAACTTTAAATATCCTTGAAAAATTCTTGAAAAAATCCACGCCTTGGTGACTTTAAATATCCTTGAAAACTTCTTGAAAAAATCCACGCCTGGAAGGCTAGAAATATCCTTGAAAAATTCTTTAAAAACTGCACGCCTGGAAGGCTAGAAATATCCTTGAAAATTTCTTTAAAAAATCCACGTGTTAGGGCCTTTAAATATCCTTGAAAATTTCTTTAAAAAATCCACGTGTTAGGGCCTTTAAATATCCTTGAAAATTTCTTTAAAAAATCCACGTGTTAGGGCCTTTAAATATCCTTGAAAATTTCTTTAAAAAATCCACGTGTTAGGGCCTTTAAATATCCTTGAAAATTTCTTTAAAATATTCACGTGTTAGGACCTTTAAGTATCCTTGAAAAAAATCTTGAAAAAATCCACGCGTTGGGCCTTTAAATATCCTTGAAAATTTTTTAAAAAACTCCACGCCTTGGGGTCTTTAAATATCCTTGAAAATTTCTTTAAAAAACTCCACGCCTTGGGGCCTTTAAATACCCTTGAAAATTTCTTTAAAAAATCCGCGCGTTAGACCTTTAAATATCCTTCAAAATTTCTTAAAAAAATCCACGTGCTGGGGCCTTTAAATGTCCTTGAGAATTTCTTTAAAAAATCCACGCCTGAAGGCCTTTAAATATCCTTGAAATTTTTTTTAAAAAATCCACGCCTTAGGGACTTTAAATATCCTTAAAAATTGTTTTAAAAAATCCACGTGTTAGGGCCTTTAAATATCCTTGAAAAATTGTTTAAAAACTCCATGCCTAAGCGGCTTTAAATATCCTTGAATTTTTTTTTAAAAAATCCATGCCTAAGGGGTTTTAAATATCCTTGAAAATTTCTTTAAAAAATCCACGTGTTAGGGCCTTTAAATATCCTTGAAAATTGTTTTAAAGAATCCTCGCCTGGAGGCCTTTAAATATCCTTGAAAATTGTTTTAAAGAATCCTCGCCTGGAGGCCTTTAAATATCCTCGAAAAATTCTTTAAAAAATCCACGCCATAAGGCCTTTAAATGTCCTCGCAAAATTCTTTAAAAAAAATCCACGCCTTAAAGCCTTTAAATATCCTTGAAAATTTCTTTAAAAAATCCACGTGTTAGGGCCTTTAAATTTCCTCCTCCACCTTTGTGTATCACTTCCCAAATCCAATTTCTGATTTAACTGGCCTTAAAGTATCTTTCGTCCCCCCAATTCCCCCTCCATAATCCACTTACCTACAGCAAATATTTGACACAGAAATTTGTTATTCTCGTGAAATTGTTATGCGAGATAAGTAAACATTTATTTGTTACTTACCCTTTTTTTTGTCTTCGGCAAATCCTTTGAAGGAACTCAAACGACTTGAAGGAAGGGGGGAAGGATATCGCAACACGCAATACAATCATCCCCCCACTAAAAACAACTTAAATTGAACACAATCCAGTTGATTTGTAGCACACGTCTTGGATTTTACCTGCCCCACGCCGAAGGGTATTTTACAAGGTAACGAAGCAGTTTTCTTGTCCCCGTCAGCAGTTGAGAAGGTGGAGAAGGAGAAGGAGGAATCGGTTTCCTCCTTCCTCACATACATATGTAGCAACATATGTATCCTTTCAGATGCCTTGGTGCCGTGGAATATCTATATCAGAATTTATGTTGGCTGCCCGACTGGCTGGCTGAACGTGTAACCAAATGCTGGCAACATCAGTCAGTCAGCCGGGCCTCAGTTGGCAGTTGGTTTTTACGATTTTGCAAGTTTTTTTCCATCTGGCAGACTGTCTGTCTGTCTGTCGATTTGTCTGTTGACTTAGTTTACGTCTTGACTTTATTTGTTTGCCTTGTTTTTCCGTTTCCTTTTTTCGCTTTCATTTGCGTTGTATGTTTCGTGTTGGAGCCCAATGAAGGGGAAGGAGAAGGGGAGGAGGAGTAGAAGAGAATCCCAACACGTTGTAGGTTTCCGAATTCCGGGATGGGTAGCCCCTTAAGGATACATTGAACAGACCATAAACGGTTGTAGCTGCTCGTAGCTGCCCCAAATACCCAGAACTTAAGCAGCGCCAGCAAAACGTGCAAGGATATGTTTCCAGCTGGAGATGTCACCCGAATGTGGAGAATCATTTTTTATGGGATCTTGTCATGCCGTCGTTGTTGTTGTTTTTTTTTCTGTTTGTGTTTCAGTTTTGTTGGGGTTTGTATGCTGTCAATTTGTTGTTGTAGTTGACTGCTTGTAATTGTCAAAGTGTTACAAGCTGTTCTTTGTTAGCAATTGCTGACGCCAGCCATACCTGGCGCTGGGGGGAGGCGCCATCAATTCTCTCTCTCTCTCTCGTCCTTTGATACGAACAATTGACACCGATTGAATTTTTATTTCAGTTTAGGTGAGGTAAGTGGTAAAGAGGGAGGAAGAAATCACAATCAAACATCTATAACATTTTCGATAGAAAATATGTTATCGATAATATTTTGATTTAAAAATGTCGATAAAATATTTTTATAGAAAAAAATGTTATCGATAATATTTTTTATAAAAAAAAAAAATATTTTCCTATAGAAAACTATTGTCGATAATATTTTCTATAGAAAAAAATGTTATCGATAACATTTTTTCTATTTTTTCTATGGAATAATATTAAAATGATCGATTATCGATAATATTTTTCCATAGAAAAAAAAATTATCGATTATCGATAATATTTTTCCATAGAAAAAAATTTATCGATTATCGATAATATTTTTCCATAGAAAAAAATTTATCGATTATCGATAATATTTTTCCATAGAAAAAAATTTATCGATAATATTTTTCCATAGAAAAAAATTTATCGATTATCGATAATATTTTTCCATAGAAAAAAATTTATCGATAATATTTTTCCATAGAAAAAAATTTATCGATAATATTTTTCCATAGAAAAAAATTTATCGATTATCGATAATATTTTTCCATAGAAAAAAATTTATCGATAATATTTTTCCATAGAAAAAATTTATCGATTATCGATAATATTTTTCCATAGAAAAAAATTTATCGATAATATTTTTCAATAGATAAAAATTTATCTATTATCGATGGTATTTTTCCATAGAAAAAAATTTATCGATTATCGATGATATTTTTCCATAGAAAAAAATTTATCGATTATCGATGATATTTTTCCATAGAAAAAAATTTATCGATTATCGATGATATTTTTCCATAGAAAAAAATTTATCGATTATCGATAATATTTTTCCAATGAAAAAAATTTATCGATTATCGATAATATTTTTCCATAGAAAAAAATTTATCGATTATCGATAATATTTTTCCATAGAAAAAAATTTATCGATTATCGATAATATTTTTCCATAGAAAAAAATTTATCGATTATCGATAATATTTTCCATAGATAAAAATTTATCGATTATCGATAATATTTTTCCATAGATAAAATTTATCGATTATCGATAATATTTTTCCATAGAAAAAAATTTATCGATTACCGATAATATTTTTTCATAGAAAAAAATTTATCGATTACCGATAATATTTTTTCATAGAAAAAAATTTATCGATAATATTTTTCGATAGAAAAAAATCTATCGAAAATACTTTCCAATACAATTTTTTATAGAACATTTACAATTTATTAGAAATAAATTTTACCTGCGCCATGAAATTGAAATACCCAACTCCCAAAATTGGATTTTTAACTTTTTTATTTTGTTAAGGGCTTTAGGAAAACACCAACACGCAAATAAAAATTCTGGAAACATTTTAATGCGTTTTTCTTTTTGGAAAGGGGTTCTGTTGCGTAGCAGATAAAAAAGCAAGCAATTCAAAAAATACGTGCAAATTGCAAGTTTATAAGACCCCTGAGACTTGTCAGGGAAAGAGAAACAGAATAAATTTCTAAACTCCACCTTTGCTGTGTTTCGTCTTTAAATTTCCTCCGATTAAGCATTCATTGGAATTTCAAAATGCTCCTCACTGTGGCAAGGACAAAGAGGCATGTATGGCGGGGCCATAAATCAGCATTAGTCGCCACAATTGCCACAGTCAAAGATGACATTGAGGTGGTCGTAACGCCTCTCCAAATGATACCTAGGACAATGTTTGGCCAGCAAAACAAGTTAATGGAAGCCTTTGTCTCGGACTGGTGCGTACGTCGCTTCAAACTTCTTTACACCACTGCTCCGGCAGTGTCTTAAGTCTTTTATGGCTTCTAAAGCTTTTTAATGTTTTAAAATTTCCAAAGCTTGTCATAAATTATGGAATTAAAGCAGAAAAGTTTAGCAACTAGGCTACTGTCATTCGGGGTGGAGAGAGATTTAGTATTTCTTGGAATGGCAATTGGCTGAGATTTTTGGTTTCCGGTTTTATCTCGAGAGCGTATGCCATGAACATGCCGTTGTGGTGGCAGATTTTCAATTGAATTGAAAGTTTGTCTTAGGTGGGCATATATTTTATTATGATTTACGATTTGAAATCGAGAAAAACAAAGGGAATGTCGAAATAAGCAAATTTATGGTGGCCAGCTAGTTTTCTGCAATCCAGCAAAATATTGGATGTATTTATATTAAGTATTGGTT